TGCCACTTCCTATTTGCATAAACTTGGGCAAGTTGTGGAAATAATAATAGTATCTACCCAATGATCATTAGGAGAATGGAATGATTGCATATAGAGTGTACTGCTGTGTCAGTCACAGAGTAGTTGTTTCTGATATCTTGTAGTTGTTTCTGATATCTTTCATCTTTGTCAGTGACCGTGACCCGCAAAGATATAGCACAATCAAGGTCAATTAAATACAATGTATTTAATTTAATGTATTTTCCTGTACAAATCACATCTTACAATAGTACTCTCCTAAATAGGATAATAGTGTTACTGAAAGTAATGTCTCAGTAACTTTAGAAATCAGTCCATAATTGAATTGAAAGTTGCCACAATTTTTAATTTAAGATATCGCTTTAACTTGGTTTCCTTCAAATTCTTTATAGTGCTCTATCTGATAATTCATTCCCATAGAGACTGCACAATTACTATAAATCATTTACTGTATTTTGGTGTACGTAAAAATTTTGTTCATATCTTTTATTCTTCTTTAAAACAATATTTGGTATTTTAATGATGCCCCTTTTAGCTCTTCATTTTGCCAAAGATAGTTGAAAAGCAAGATAATAGCAAATAACTTCTAAAGGATTACATGTCAAAAGACAGGAATCATAATGACTGATATTTCTCTATGTTCTCTAGGTTTGATAGATTCCATATTTTCTAACGAGTAAAATGCATAACCAAAATTGTCTCTTCTCTGGCATAATATGTTATCAGCCTATCTTGTAAAAATAAATTCCTTGTTCCTAATGAGTTTTCGAATAACTCAACTGTAAAGCATCTTTTATTGTTGTTATCAAGTTTGAAATTTTTAAATAGTGTCAAGTTGATCTTGCTGTTATTTCATGCTTTATGAACACATTTGCTTATGCTACTAGGTGCAACTCTGATCCTAGATTATGATGCAAAAAAAAAAAAAAGAGATAAGGACAAAAATGAACATTAACTTCAATAATATAAATGTATTCCACAAGAACTATTTTGATCTGAAGTAGCCAGGTATTTTTACCTCACCTACCTGAGTAATCTTATATTCTTATATAGTTACAGCTTAAATTTAGGGCACCTTGGGAAGTCCATACATTTGTCGACTATAATAATAAGTCATGATAAATGGACAGGGAATCAAGGAGAAATATATATAAATGATAAGATTTTAAGTTCTTATAACAGAAGATTTAAAAATTATTATTTTGTCGAAAGTACCAAATTATGCTATGCAAATATAAATGAATTAAAGTGGTTTAAGTATTTCTTTAAAAAAATTTCCCCAAGCTTCCTGACTTTACAGTTCTCAATCAAATGCATGAGACTACATAAAAAAAAAAACTCATAAATGAGTTGATTTAAAGTATAATCTATGCATGGGGTGGAAAAATTCTCTCTCTCTTCTTTTTCACCTCTCTATTCTTCTTTTCTGAGTCTTGGGGTATAGTATTTCAGTATTAAATCTTTTAGCATTTGACTTAACAATCAGTAACTCTCAGATTCCCTATTCATCCTTGGAAGTAGGGATGACTCAGAGTTGGGTTGGAACCCTGCCTCTTCTCACTGGAAACAAACTAGTTTCTAAGCTGAAAATACCTAATCAAACACTGACAACTTTAAAATACTTTGTTTAGCCATGGTCCTTGGCTTAGAGATGAACTAAGTGTATATTTATTGTTTTTCCATCATCTCCCTGTTGGCAAAGCAATGTTCTCAGTCCAGTCTGTATGAAAGATTATGAGAAAGGTGACAGGCCTGCTCTTGCCCACAACCAGCAGAACAGTTAGAAATCGGCCTTGTTCAACAAGAAGGAAGACAATGGCTTACCTTTCAGCTCTTACCCCAATGTTGGTATTGAGCCCGAAACTTTCACTAACCAGGAATTCTTAATAGATAATTATAATCAGTGAATACATAAGTATACACCCAAGCTAATGATGCAAAGTGCTAATTTTTCTCATTTGCTGAAAGATATTTGAGTGTTACTGGATCTGTTTTGCTGAAATATTTGTGCATATTTTAAACTTATTCCAAGTGCTTTCTTTGCTTACCTAATGACTTCACTTGTTACTAGCTCACCCAAGCTATTCTGAGATATTACAACTTTCTTAATATACAGAATAATCTTTTATAGTATGGGAAGTGAGATCAGACTATTTAGCTCAATTGATGTCGCAGATTTAATATGCTGCAATGTCTTCATATGGGAAGAGTCCATGAGATTCACTTAGGTGTGTCCATTTCCTTAGTGTTCAACCTTTATGTTTTTTTCCTGGTACTCTGGGAAGCACTCAAGCTTGCATTTTCTCATGTAAAAGATTTTCCTAAGCTCCCTTTTGGCCTACTTCATTACTTGGCTTCACTTCACATGTTCTCATTTTTTAACTTGTTATTCTCTGTGGACAAGGTTTTTGACATCCATCTTCTTTTTAACAATCAAAATGTCATACATCCTGGAATTATTCATAACATAATCTGCTCATGTTCCTTACTTTTGCTACAGGAATTGAGTGGGTAGACTAATGACATCATATGACCATTGTGTTATTTTCTATTCAAGTAACTACAAGTCTCATTTTCCTAATATCTCAATAAAATACTTTTAGATTTCATCTCTTCTCTCTCTTTTAAAATGTTCTCATTGCCATTGTGTTTATTGTGAAACGAATGTCAAGCCCCAGCTATGAAGTCACAGCTATATGCCATAGCTTTTTCTATAACTAAAATGGAATAGATCCGTACCCCCAGATTATTTGAATAAATTTTATAACATTCTCCTTTTTATTATCTATGCAATTCACAAGAATATGTTCATGTTGTTAATATTAAGTGATTTCTTATTTATTTGGAAATTTATTGTTTATTTACTTGGTGAAAGGCCAAAGGGAAGGAGGAAATTTAGAGTATTGGGGTAAATGTTACTTTATCATATATCATATGTGTAAAATGTGGAATATAGCATCTTATTTTGAAACAAGTTTAAAAGCATATCAAATATCTGGCAAGCCACTCCAGAATCCCCACTGCTATTGAACTACTTTAATAAAATCTCATCTTTCAAACAGAAAGAAGGCTCAGAAGGTTCTTATTAGCCTCTATTATTAGCCTTTGCTAATTCTTCCCTTGCTCCAAGGATTTAAAGGGCAAAGTCTGGAGCCTTTTTCATGTGTTCAACTGAAAGCTTTTGGTGCTATACAAAAGTACACAGCTTTCTGGGAACAATGCTCAGCTGGCAGTGAAAAATCATCAATGATTAATTTAGGAAGCCCATCCGAAGCATGTGGAAGTAGCTTCAGGATAATGGCAGGAAGTGTATGCATCCAAGTGAAAGGGTTGCTTTGCATTCTTGAGTTTCAGGAGATGGTGAAGGAAGCTATGGAAGAAGGGTTTGGAGGCACCCCTGACTGCGTGTTCTCAGTGAGGCCTGGCATGCTACACACGTCTAAGGGTCAAACGTGGGGGAGGACGCAGTTTGGACCTAATCTGTATATTCAGGGTAAGTGGAGGGAAGCCATTAAGATTTTATTTCTTATTTTACTGACTTTTTTTTTCTTTTCCTTTAATTTTCCTTTCCAGGTGCCCAAATGATCACATTCACCACCACCACGCCACGCCACCCCGCCCCCAGTAGTAAATGCCTGTGGAAGAAGATGGATGGTGTGGCAATTGACCCTAGAGTCAGACTGCTGGGTAAAAGAATCCCAGCCTCCTCACACCTTAGGAGGCCTTCAATGGCGGGTTCAAGTTCTCCGTTAGAGCATGTTGTCTTAAGGTGAGCACCTGGCTTTTCCCCCATCTTCGCTGTCAGTCATCATCCCGCCTCGCTACACTCACCTGATTTCTGGATCATGCTCTGAAAAGCCTGGTTCTGTAGGTACTTCATAGTGATTTCCCTAAGATCGTAGGCACTTAGCTGGTAATTTTGTAATTTGCTTATTTGAAAGAGCAGAAATACATCTATTTCAAACACATTTAGTGAAGATCGACTTGATGCGGAGCGATGAAGATTCGACGGAAAATCGCATGGACAAAGATTCTGCTCTCCTGGAGCCTAAGTTCGGGTGGAATTAAAAGTTATTTCTCAACATCCGCGCTGAGCTCGTTATCAGCTCTGCTGGAAGACTGCTTGAAGTTCACTGTGCAGGCTAAGTGGAGCACAGCTTTCCTAAAGGCCATTGTAAGCTGGCCTCAGCCCTCCGCGGACAAAATTTTAAAGGATATAAACCACAGGGCAGCGAAAGAGTATGCGTT